TATATATATATATATATATATATATAAATATATATATATATATATATATATATATGAATATGAATGTTTATACGACTGGCTGTTGGCGATCCTCATAGCTGTATTTTAAGTTAAAAATTTATAATTTTGCATCAGATCCACTTGTTTGTCTCCCATTTCTTCCATAGCCTTTGAGCAGATGATCATATTATATACAGTTTAGAATCGATTTAGAATAGTTATCTGAAAGCGATCTTACACAGACAGGATTCCCCCCATTGCATATTGTCATAAGTATCACAATAAACATTACATTTCTCGAGACATTCTTCTGTGGCTGAGTAATCACATCTCTCTGTAATCATTAGCCTTTATTTTTACAGATGTGTCCGTCCTAATAGCTCTACTTCTCTTTTTGTCTTCCATATGTTCACATTTATACTGCCTCAAACAATTACATAACTTCATTTCTACATAGATAACTGCTCCTACTTGTAGATTTTTATAAAGGGAGGGAATTTTCCCTTCAGAACTGTTTCACAAATTAACTTCTCCTGATTCCCCACCAAACATGCAGTATGTTGGAGAGTGGCATTGCCAACAGAATTGTGCCTGTAGCCTGCATTGTGTATATAGCCAGGTCTTGCTGCTGTCTCATGTGTTGCACTGCCCCTCCCACCCTTAAGATTATCATTAGACTGTGTAATGCAGAATCTTGTTTGGCTTGTATCAAGACTTTGCATTATTTCCCCTAACTCTGAGTACTAAAAATGAAATACCAGGAAGTTTCTCATGTTCCACCTGTCATATGTAATAATCCCCTCCCCTTTTATGTGTAAGTTATTTAGTACTACAGGGCTTAAAAGTTTACTTTAAATGTGTTTAAAAACATATGTTGAAGAAGTCCATCAGTACTATGTTATTGAATTTATACAGTTCAAATCAACAGTAAAATATTCCTTTCTTTTTGTTACAGGTTTGATACTTACCGCATCAGTCCACTTCAACAAAGCAGGTTCCAATTAAATCTACTCGTTGCAGCAGCACAGTTAGAACAGGAGACAGGAGAGAAAGTGATGGATATGTTAGTATCTGTCTGTACATTTAAGGTGTCCTCTTGGGAACAAGACACAGATCAGGATATTTATGGTGAAGATTACAGTGAGGATGATGATCAGGAGGAACATATAGCTGATTATAGCCAAAGTGACTTCCTTCTGGACCTTTACTCCCAGCTGAAGGACTGTGAGACTAAAACAGGTCTGAGCCTCCTTCCATCATTACAGTCAGTTTTCCAGTCAGCTCCTCCAGTCTGGACCATAAAGCTCTCAGAGATAAAGACCTCCATCCTCCTGGAAGTGTTGAAGCTCCAATCAGAGAAGAAACCAGTGAAGCTGACAGACTGCTCACATGGAGAGAGTGAAGTGAGGAGTTTCCTACAGTGTCTGCCTTATATCTCACAGCTCAGGTAAGTATTTTATATTTTAACGAATAATACCAATGAAGTTCAACCTGGCTATGATAAAGGACACATCGTGGACTAAAGAAAACCTCAAAATAGAAAATTGATAATTCTATTCTGTAACTTAATGAATAGCTAGAATTAAACAGCCAATCAAATGGAAGGGGCATATGGATCTTTTTCAGGATGGTTTGAGTTATCTGCAGTGGCGGCTGGTGGCAGTTTTCTCCAGGGGGGGGGCTATAAATTCAAAATAGACATATACCAAAAACCAATCCAATGTATACTAAGTTATCATGCCATTATATTTGTATGAATGCCAACAACAAAAAACATTATAAAACAATGACATATAAAAAAAAAGGGTTAGGGTTAGTACTTTTTGTACATCAATCTTGCTCATCGGAGACTTTGTGAAGGCAAATCTGTGTTTTGCATGGTCCAATATTGTGTCACAAACCTAAAAAAAATATTTACCAGTTTAAAAATGAAGAAGCTACTTGTCAAAAAAGAAATAGATCTTTCAATTTCAACCCTGTTTACATTTTACTGTTATATTTATAGTTAAACAATTTTAGATTTTAGCTCAAAAAGGCAGTGAGAAATAGGAAATTGGGTATAGCTCATTTTAATCTTATCATATGATCCGTTTGTTGTGCGAGTCACTCACTGTCTAAAATCAATCTTAAGCGTCTTCGACCAAACATGTTTTTTGCATGTAATGTCATCACTTGCATTCCAAAATGAAGTCCATCTGTAATGTGTGGTCCAATTTATGCAGCTTAGATCAAATCATAATTTGTGTCTTTCTTGTTTTGTTTTTTTCCCAGTTTGGAATCTCAGAGGTCCTTTTTTCTCAAACAAACTGGGCTGTTAGTGAGTCTGTTCTGTGCTGCAGCAGAGAGAGAACAGCAGACAGGAGAGAAGATGGTGGAGCTGTTGGCATCAGTCTGTAGATATGAAACATTTCCTGTGGAGGAAAAATACAGCGATTACAAATATCGTCTTTCCTTTCTGCTGGATCTTTACTCCCAGATGAAGGACTGTGAGACTAAAACAGGTCTGAGTCTCCTTCCATCATTACAGTCAGTTTTTCAGTCCTCTTCTCTAGTCTGGACCATAAAGCTCTCAGAGAGAAAGACCTCCATCCTCCTGGAAGTGTTGAAGCTCCAATCAGAGAAGAAACCAGTGGAGCTGACAGACTGCTCACATGAAGAGAGTGAATTAAGGATTTTTGTTAGGTGTCTGCCTTATATCTCACAGCTCTGGTAAGTCCAGCATTTCTTCCTTCTAAATAAATATTTATTAATAGAT